TGTGCTCTGTAATTCCAGTGCTCCTGGCTCCTCAGGCTTCTCCACGTTGCCATCTGTCTCCCCACCCACCTCTGCTGTGTTTGCTCCAGGGAGCCTGCTCTTGGACTAGGAAAGGTGCAAGGAAGGGCGCCCCGGGGAGGAGGGCTGGTGGGACATGTCTTAACTGCTCACAGAAAGCTCAGGAGTTGACATCCACAGTTGCCGTGTGGTGGACAGCTCAGCGGTGCCCTGGTGTGACGATGTACATCCTCGGCGACCCGACGGAGGGTTACCACAAGTAACAGCCGTTAACAGCAGTAGGCTGCTTAGGGGAGAGCATCCACGGCTCACGAAAGTTGAGAGGGGGTGTGCCCATGAAGACCCAGTCGCACGTCCTCCACGGCAGCTGGATTCTGTCTGCAGAGCGGCAAGAATGGGAATTCACTCCACAGCGGTCGGCCTGGTCAGGCATGGATTTATTAGGTTAAAAAACCCCGAAACCAACAAAATGCCTCGCTTTCTGGCCCTCAAGTCAGAACCAGCCCCTGCCGACACTGCACTGGGTTTCGAGGGGCAGCTAACAGCATGCGAGGAGACTGTCCATCCTTCTCCTGAGACTTGAACATGCCAACCTGGGCTGGGAAAGGGCGGTCACGAGGGGCTGGGCCAGCGCGTGTGTGCGCAGCTCACATTGTGCCCCTGCCCGTTAGGACAGGTCCCCGGCCCACGGAGCCTCGAGGGGAGGCCATGCCAGGCTGCCTCCCCTCCAAAGCTCCTAGCACCTGCGTGGCTCCGGCCGCCTTCAGCAACATCCACACTCCTGTGTTGGTAGTGGATTCTGAAACGGCCTCCCTCACTCTGGGGGCTTCACGAGAAGAAGCTGTGCTGCAATCTCAAAGGCAAGCAGTTCAAATCCAACACCTGCTTCATAGGAGGGCAGTCTCCTCCAGTGCAACTTCAGCCTCTGAAAACCTGCTGGAGGGTCAGCTATGGATTGGTTCTGATTCAACCATCCACAACATCCACTGCTTGACACCTGCCCCTGGGCCAGACGGGAAGGGTCATAAAGGAACCATGGGCCTCAGTTGCTCAGTTCTTTGTTGATGAGCGTCTTCTCCAATGTCATCATCATGGGGCTGGTGTGAGAGCCGGCTACACCATGGACACTGGCGAGGTGGAGCCCTGGAGCCAGAAAAGCCAACCTAGTACTGAGAGGAGGCTCCTGGGTGACTCGGGAACCAGAGGCTGCTTGCATTTGTGCCGCTGGACTTTCAGTGTGTGTTGTCTTCCCATCACCTCCAAATGAAATCCACTTCCGTGACAAGTCCCAGGCCGGTGACAGAAGTGGGCGCAGCAGTATGGCGTCCACGTCTAAGGGGCTGGTTTTATGTACTGGATGTTGCTGACAAGAACAGGTCCCTTTGTGAAGTTGGTAGGGCCAGACTTGGCTGTCCCCCCGCCCCCATCACCCTTGTTCCCTTTCACCTTCTGAGCCTCTGAAGACCTGGGGGCTTGTCCCTGCTTCTCCCCACCCCTGTGCCCGCCCTGGTGAAACAGACTTCTGAACTGGCTCTCAAGTGGTCAGGAAAACCCCTCTAGCCCAGCCTGTTGTCAAAGGCCCCACACGGTCACCAGGCCTGTAGGTCCTTCCAGGGGCAGCTGCTTCATCTTTCTTGTGGCTGGGGGTTTAAACCAAGTACTTCAGCCATGCACCACCAGAGCCCCTAACTGAAATGGGGATGGAATGGATTTTCAGTAAGGGCACAGAAGGTCCCAGAGCAGAACCAGGCTGATCTGGGTTGTTTGGTCAAGTCCTAGCTTCTGCACAGGCCTGGGGTGGCCATGCACCCCGGAATGGGAGAGTCTCCATTTCTCAATCTGTCCTTCCCTTTCTCTGATTGGAAGACCCGTGGCCTGGCCAGTTCCATGCAGGTGACCTGTGCAACTCAACCCTGTGTCAGACCTCTGACAGGACACCCTCCTCTCAACCATGGGGCTGGCCTTAGCAGGACCTGGTTGGGGGAGATTGGCCAAAAGGCAGGGGAAATGGGAGTGAGGAGTGCTCAGACACATCTGGGCACCCTTCCAAGCCCCAGAGACTTGGGGTCCACTCTGGAGTTGTGCATCACAGTGCAAAGGGGCTCAAGGTGAGGACTGGGTCATGGAGGGCTGGGAGTGTAGTCCATGGCAGGAGACCTAAAGGGTCTCCTCAAAGTGTGTGTGTGGAAGAACGAGATTGGTGGCTCCTGAGGGCTGAAGGGTCAGAACAGGGCTCTGTTGGGGTAGGTCTCTGAGAGGAAGCCACCTGGGGGCGCTGCTGGAGGCTGAGGGGTCTAAGAGGATGGGTCTCCGTGACAGGCTGTGTCCATGTGGCTGGGGCCCGATTCTCCGTGCTTCAGTGTGTGATGACTAACAGAGTAGTTACAGGAAGATGTGCTCTGACAGGGCCATCAGTGACAAGATCAGGGATGTGGACTACAAGCTTCATCCAACAACAAAGATCACGAGAGAACAGTTAAAGGGGAGCCTCGGTACCACCCAGAGAGCCTGGAACGGAAGGTGTCTCCGCTACCAGGAACCTCAACCCAGAAACACTGAACCTGTGATAAAGGGGAACTCCGGGGAGGGGCAGATGCTGGAAGCAGGTAAGGTTCTTCCAAAGATGAGATCGCTTTTCCTAAGCTGTCGTGCACCTGCGAGTCACAAGCCACAGCTGGCTGACCCTCCAGCTGGTTTTCAGAGACAGTAAATCACATCTTCCTCCCGCAGAGCTGCTGGTGGATTCGAACCCTGGGGCCTTTGGGACTCCAGTGCAATGTCTTACAAGGCCACCAGAGTGCCCTAACTAATAGGTGACAAGTATTAACATGGGAGAAAGGAAAGTAAGTACACACAGGAAGAGGTGAAGCAGAGGGAAGACACTGTGAAATAAAAAATCAACAACGGTGAATACTATTACCCGCCCAATCTTGCAATACTGTACAAAAACCCACAACCTCATTCACCCAGCCAGCACCCTTCTACCTGCCCCGTCGACTTTCCCCTAAGCAGCTGCTGGTGGATTTGAAATGCCAGCTCTCTGGGTTAGCAGAGCAGGTCCCTGCAGACTAGGCCACCAGTGGACAGTGTGCTCATGGGCACATCCTGAAGCAGGACAGGTGTGTGTGGTGCGCCATGGTGCCTGAGCAGGTCTGGGAGATGTGTTATGTGCACGGTGGACACAGGGCAAAGCTGAGGACCAGCTCAGCCATGACCGAGTGCCCGAGGCCTGGAGCAGACCAGTCACAGGGCCGCTGACGTGTCTGTTTAAGCACCTGTGATGTGTGTTACACAGCAGTGGCCCCATGGCACCAACAGGTAACCAAGGAGCGTTGCAGGCATGGTTCAAACATGTTAAAAGGCTGCTGGTTCAAATCAACCGGCTGCTTCTAGCACTAACGGGGCCACCTGCTCTTATAAAAAGACTGTTGCCTTGGAAGGCCTAGGAGAGTTTCATCTGTCCTACATGGTCACTGTCAATCGGAATACAACAGTGACTGACAGACCTCTCTGCCAAGCCAGGGCCTCAGAACTGTTGTCCATCATGTAAGGAGCAGCATGCCTTCTCTGCAAGACCCAGGCTAGACGTGTGCCAGTCTGTGAGTAGGGGCCTAGGGCAGTGGGGAGTGTCTACAGGGCGGTTCTGTGGGCGAGGACACAGGACAGTGGTGATGGGGTCTATGGGGTGAGTCTGAGGGCACAGGGCGCTTGTGATGGGGTCTATGGGGCAAGTCTGCAGGTGGGGGCCCAGGGCAGTGGTGGTGGTGGGTGTCTACAGCGCAGGTGTGTGAGGGCCCAGGGCGGTGGTGATGGGGTCTATGGGGTGGGTCTGTGGGTGAAGACACAGGGCGGTGGTGGTGAGGTGTCTCCAGGCTGTGTGTCCTCAGCCGTGAGGCTGGGCCCATCCTCTGGTCTTCACAGCATTTGCACATGAATCTTCGCTATGATAAACCAGAGGTGCCAGTCTGCTCTTTTTCAGTTTTTATTTGGTGTTAACTCCACAAGAAAACGAAAACTCAGTTACTGTGGTGAAGGTGAGGTCAGGACGGGTGGCCACAGCGGCAGCTTGGGTGCAGCCACGTCATCGTCATGCCGCAGGCGGCTCGGCAGCTGGCCCCCCGGCTCACCAAGCTAACAGGCTGCCGGCCCTGTGCTTGCCCGGCCCCCAACTAGGGGCACACGCACGCGTACACACACAGCAGGACTCCCGTGTACACACACACACACGGCAGGACTCCCGCCCCTGCACACACACACACACACACACACACACACACACACACACACACCACACACACCACACGTCAGGACTCCCGACCCCCGTGTCCCCCACCCCGTGCCCGCCGGCCGCCCCGCACTCGCCAAGGCGGCTCGGGAGGAGTTCTGCCCCTGCTGCAGACGACGGTCCGGGGCAGCCGGCGCCATGACCATAGGGATGGATGCCCTTCTTTTTTGCTTTGCTGTTAAACTATTTCAGTGCAGAGGCTAGTCAATTTTTAGGAAGCTCCAGGAAAAAAAAAATACATAGAACTTATCTGTAAATAAATAACAGCAACCCAAACCTTACCCGCGCACACAGGCCCGCTTTAACGCGTCGAACACTGCGTGGCTGGAGCCCGGGCGCCAGCTCCTGCGAGCCCCCCGCCAAGGCCGGTCCCCGTCCCTCTCCAACACATGGCTGACAGGAGGCTGACTGGGCACCATGCGGATAGCTGACATGTCTGTGGAGTCGGGAGTCACCAGGGGACGACAGGTTGCATGTGCCCAGATGGCCTTCAGGGACCGGCCAGCCGCAACGCCCCAGCCCATCCTCGGGGTCTTCAGGTCGCAAAGTGGGAGCCTGTGTTGCTCACAGCCTCTCGGAGGACGTATCTGCCACTTGGTGTCCGTTCTGTGGGGGGCCGAGCAGCACTCACGCAGGATGCAGAAAGCGGGCGCCCGGGGAACAAGCACATGCACACCCATCCTGACCGGAAATCAGCCTAGTCTACTTCCAACAGCCCAGGGCTTAACTGCGGGCTCCGCTCCGGCCGTCTCAGCTCTGCAGCAAGAGAGGGGAAGGGGCAGCAGGAGGGGAAGGGAGAGAGAAGGGGGACAGGAAGGGGGTGGGGAGAGAGA